TTTGTACCCAATAGTTTTATTTAATTTTCGAATATGGTCATTCCAGGTAAGGTTTTCATCAATTTGAAGTCCTAAATAACGGATGCTTTTTACCTCATCAATTGTTTCATTACCAACATGAATATTCAAAGAGGAAAGAGGGCGAACATTTCTATTTTTAATTAACATAAGTTTGGTTTTGGTAGAATTTACAATTAATTTATATTCTTGACAAGTGCTATAAAGGGATTTGCTATAAAGAGCCTATATATTAATTTTCAATAATTTTATGTGATATTTTATTTATTTGTTTTTAAAATACCTTCAGTACTATTGATAAATACTGCATTATAGTTATTTTATCAGGTTATTGTGATACTTGTATAAAGCAATGACTATATTTTATTTCTCGCTTTCTTTTTTATTCCATATAATAATTTTGTAATATTATTTATACTTTCATTACTATTGATATATACTGTATAAATAATTAAATAGACCAACATAAAAACAAACACCCTATTGTGCACCCCCACCTTACAATGGTATAATCCATTGTTGGGTGGCTTTCGACAGGGGTGGCTTTCTTCCTACCTTCATTTTTCTTCTCCAAAAACTAATTAATTGATGTTTATAATGTTTCCTCACCTGCCAAGTCAGCTTTGAATCAGGCAGCTTTGTTTTCAAGAATATATAAAAACCAGGGGGTGACGACAATCTCTTAATCTAATTGTCTTTCCCCGCAACATTCGGAAAGCTATTGTATTTATATATATTTTGTTTATTATTCAACATTCTTGAATACGCACGGGCACAATCAGGAAGTCGAGAGGGTCCTTATCCCCTCAAATTATTCAAAATTTTAATCCTCACAATTCTATCTTTTATCAAATAAAATAACGTAAATTTTACTGGGCCTTCTGCCCCTCAACCCAGCCTGGGCCCTTATCTTCTTTAGCATACTTGCTCGCTGCGCTCGCAAGGCTTGACACCTCCATAAATTTTACTCTGGCGGGCCCCTGATACAATCTTATAATAGAAACTAATTTTAAGAATTAACATTGTAAGTAAGTAAGTAGCTTTATTACTTCTCTTTTATAACAGTGGCACAACTTTAAAAGATGTGCAACAATAACAAAAACAGTATACACTTAATTACTGTGATTAAATAGAACTCGAAAATACTGCAGTAGAACAAGTTTAAATAATAATAAAATTATAAAAAGGATTTACAAGAAAAAAATACAGTGCACCCTCCAATTTGGGACCCCTCTAATTCGAGACCGAGAGTAATTAAAGTATTGTATATTTAATTCAATAACATTAATCTTTAAAAAAAAAATATTAGTCATGCAATAGAAAAGTATTATATATTTATATAATCCATGCAGTTGTTAAAAATAATATACAACGTTTATCGAAAATTTTACTTACAATAATATAATTAACGGGGTTTGTATAATTTATTGCTAAAATTTGATATTCGTAATGGATTTCTAGATCATCAAAGAAAGTAAAATGATTACACGCGCCCGCATGCGGCCTTGAACAAATATACTGAGTTGTTTAAAGGTCCTCTCCGATAGAGCATGCCCAAATATTTGCACCTTTACAGCAAAGTATGAAATGGCACCATTATTTTATTGCGACGAACGTAGATAATATATTCAATAGCTTTACAAATTACACAAATGACCGTGGTGTGTGGCATTTGTTATTTGGTATTTATTTGCTCTAAAGCGCTTTGTTTTCTCTGGTAATGTGTAAATTTGCATAAGTGTATACTGCCATGTAGGCATCAGTAATTAAGCGATTTTTTTACGCTCAGTTTATACTAGAACATCCCGCGGAGATTATCGAAGATCGTATGAAGTAATTTATTTAAATATTAAATGGAAACTACAAATAATTCTTCAAAGGAGACCGATAACAGACTGACTAATAATTATAAAGATGAGTATGTGCATTTTTTTTTACATTCTTGTACTCTGTATTTTTTGTATATTTTTTTACATTTCTATACTTGGTATTTTTTGTGTATATTTTACATTCTTATACTTTGTATTTTTTGTTAAATATTAAATCTTAGACATTTCATTTGTACTCAAAATAGTCTTAAGAGTTTATAAACATCCTTAAATATAAGATGTGTTCCTCCTAAACAACTTAATAGACGTAAAAATACTGATATAAAAACATTAATTATAAACCTAGATGAACCTAATCCACGAAGGTGGTAAGAATACAACTATTCTGCTGTCAAAGTCTTGAGTATTGAAGCTGAGCCCTCCTGAAAGCACAGTCCTGATCACATAAGTAAGAAGAATCGAAATGCCTTATTTTACATTTAGCGGAACTGAGAAAATTAAATAATGTTTGGCTAACTTGTGGTTGATAATTAATTGTAAAGCATTCAACTACGTCGACAATAATATTGTTACTCACGAATTTAATCAAATGATCATAACTAAACCTCAACGTGGTGTATAACTATAAAAAAAAATTATTTGAAAGGAAAACAATTTTACTCATCTTGTGAGTCAGTAATTTGGTCATTTCTAGTTCGCTTTAGTTTTAAATATACGGTATAGTTTATGATAATTGTAAATGTTTACCTGTTAATTAAACAATGGCAGAAAAAGAAATCAATGATAAGGCCAAAAAATTGTTTGTTTACCCTCCTCCACCCGCCCCTAACTCACTGAAACAAATAGGGGCGAAAAAACTAAAACTTTTAAAAAGAGTTTTTTTTTTCTTTTTTTTTTCTTTACAAATTAAAAATAAATGTGAGTGAATTTATCTTTAATTTTTGCCAGATACCCTACAAAATTAGTCTAAAGTCGTTGTCTGATGTAAGATATTGCCATTCTAGGCCTCTGTGGGTTATTTTTATTCCAACTGATGAGTATTTTTTTTAAATGAATAAAATAAAAAAAAATTTCCACGCGCCCTTATTTATCATTTAATAAAAAAAAAAAAAGAAGGGCAAACAATTAATTTATTTTATTTGGCCTAATAATACATTTGAAATCCAACTCAAACTCAATCCCAATAATGTAATGAATGTTTTAAAATAAAAAAAATTTTCCCCCCGCCCTTATTTATCATTTAATAAAAAAAAAAAAAGAAGGGCAAACAATTAATTTATTTTATTTGGCCTAATAATACATTTGAAATCCAACTCAAACTCAATCCCAATAATGTAATGAATGTTTGTTGTAGGGTGGTACCACCAGCTACCAGGGGCTACCATAGCTGGGTATGTATTGAATGTTGTTAAAACATGAAATGAAAGGTTCAAATTACCACCTAAATCATTTAATTTCTAAATACACTTTACATTTTGTTACCGTTAGGCAAGTTTTTGTAGGCTCTAACATTAGAATAGGCAACTTAAAAGGGTTGAAAGCAGATATGCCTAGTCATACTTGGTAAGTGGTATTAATATGTGGATACACTGGTTACTACTCGTTTGGAGTCTATTATGATACTCGGGCAACACTCTAGAGCAATTTTTACACTCTGTTAAGTAGGATAGACAACGACTGTTTTAAAGGTAAGCCTCATCCTAATGCATCCTAATTATAATGTTTACACTCCACTTATGACGTTACATTGTCTGAATAGCTGTGTTATTTATTTTTATTTTAAATTCTTGTAAATTTATGAGTTTAATCTTTTCCATGGGTGAATGGAAAGCAATTAACCAATATCCTTGAACTAGGTACAGGCTAAGGTGAAAGTATCAAAATGAAAAGTGGGTCCAACCAGTGGCGTCACGCTCGGGCTCTGACGGGGCGGCGGAGCGCCAGGGCCCCCAGGCACGAGAGGCAACTACATTTTAGTATAAAAAAATATAATATAATACCATAGTTTCATTCAAAGGCGTCCCCGACAGTTTTAAACAAAAGCTGCTTTCTGATGTTTGACATTTGTTTCTGGTTTTGTGATCAATATCTGCTTTGCATTTTATATACGTTATTAAAACATATTTTGTTTCTCACTAAATTATTCTCTGTATTTATTTACACCTACATAGAGTACATAGGCCAGCCTATACCAGTTCAGAACGTTTGCCTATGTCATCTATGTTGGTTTTGTCATAAAATTGTCTAAAATATTTCATTAGTCATGGACCGTTTTATGTTCTCTGACAACGCAGTTAACAGTTCATAAATGCCATAAGCTCTGAGCGCGAGAGGGTGAAGCCCCCTCGGACCCCCACCAGGGGGCCTTACTCGGCCTCCTGGCCCCAAGCGCCATTGTTCGGTCCGCTCGCAAACTTAATATTCGCTTATTAAGGCCCCCAATAAGTCACCACCGGGGCCCCACAAACTCCGTAATACCACCTAGTGAAATAAAAACAATGGTGTAAAAATATTTTGTCCGCACTATCAGATTTTATGTGACAAATGTGATGTCATGGGCCTATATGCCTAATATGACATCATTATGCTTCAGTAATCTCCCTTCATTCACCAGGCAACCCACTTTACAACGTTCGTTCTTCTCAAAAGTCGGAAAAGTTGTAAAAATCTTCGAATACGGTCGTTTGGTAATGTACAATGAGGTCTAATTTTACATACTATGCATCTGGTGAAGCTTGTGTAATAAATTCATATTACGGCTCCATTTGCTATTATAATTTTACGTAGAAATTTTAACTGTGGAACCAACCTTGAATTTCAAGTGCCGTAGTCGTTGTGTTCGAAGAATGATATTATGATACCAATATACATGTTTCTTTCAGTCGAAATGTTATGAATAAAAATTTATACGTGGCAGCTTTCGTTGCTCTGCTTGGTCCGGCTATGATGGGCTACACCATGGCATACACATCTCCTGCTATACCTGACATGGAAAGCCGAGAATTGTTTAAGACTACTGATCAAATATCGTGGTTTGGTGTAAGAATTACTATAGCATTATTTGAAAATGTTCTAGAAAATGGCTATAAATCATTGCCAGTATTAAAATAACATGTCATGTTTTTTTCTCATAAATACAAAACGTCTCCAGATCAGCAAAGTCATACCAATATTGAATTTAAAAAATTAATTATTTTCTGGTATTCTTCCTGTTGGTATTCCTCTTTCTGATTTAAACTTCAATTTGTTTACAAATTGCAATGAAATTTACATCGAATGAATTAAATCATAGAATTTTGGTTGTGTATGAGTTTAACGTGGGTAAACTTTTATAAAGCCAGTCCAACTATTAATGTTTATATCTTTTGAATTGTGAAGTAAGTTCTATAGTCGTTGGGCTACATGCCAAATTTGGTTATGAAATTATTGTTTACATTTTTAAAGTACAAGGCCAATCTAAGAAAACACCTTTTAAAAATTGAATCGCTTGTTTTTAAGTTCAAGGTGGTTGTATCTATTATGCTAATCCCATTTACTAAATTTGGTCTAATTTGAGGTCACTTGGGAAATTTCACATTTCTAAAGATATCTAAAAAAACTCTCAAAACATTTCGTTTATGGGCTATCGTTACGCAACTAGTTTCAAAACATATGGCTACTTAAGAAAAGTAATACAAATTCTTTCAATATTTTGTAGAATACAAATACAGGTAGGACTATATTGTTAATTTATAATTTTTATTTTAAAATTTTAGTCATTGTTGGCCGTTGGTGCTATAGTCGGTGGCCCTATTGCTGGGTTTTGTGTTCATAATTTGGGTCGAAAATATGCCATGATGCTGTGTTCTCTGCCATTTGTGGTTGGCTACGGTCTCATAGCATCAATAGATAATCTTGCAACACTTTACACTGGACGTATACTGACTGGTATTGGAACAGGAATGGCTTCTCTCACAACCCCTGTAAGTAGGTCTAGATATATTCTGTATCTCTTTAGCCAGCATTACTTTTGATTAGGTTATTGTGTAGCAACACCGCCATCACTAGCAGAAGCAGCAGTCTGTAGAAGCAGGAGTCGCAGCAGCAGCAGCAAGTGTACTATTACACAACAATTCTTAATAATGTCAAAGATATTAGAAATACAAGATAGAGTACTCGCATAGCAAATGAGGCGGAAATTGGTCCAGACATACTCGGCGCCCTTCTCTTCTTATAGGTGTTGCTAAATACAACGGGTTCGGCTGAGGGTGTGTGGCTTGTGTGGTGATACGTCATGTATAAATTATACTACGGAAGCTTAAAATGACCTTCCTGATGTCTAGATAATTAACTCGTCATGTCTACATCCTGTAGGAAAGAAGATCAAATGTTGCGATTCTGGATCTCCTCATGTCTACATTTTTCAGAAAAGATGATTACATGACGAGATGCTAGATCTCGTCATGTCTAAATCTTTTAGAAGAGATGACAGATGACGAGATCCTTGATCTCATCATGTCTACATCCCTTAAAAGAGATGATCAGATCCCTCAGAAGAGATGATCAAATGAGGAGATCCTGGATATCACCATGTCTACATCCTTTACAAGAGATGGTTAGATGACGAGATTTTGACCTCGTCATGTCTACATCCTTTAGAAGAGATGATTAGATGACGAGATCCTGGATCTCGTCATGTCTACATCCTTTGAAAGAGATGCTTAGATTACGAGATCATGGATCTTGTCATGTGTACATCCTTTAGAAAAGATGATTAGATGACGAGATCCTGGATCTCGTCATGGTGTACATGGTTTGGAAGAGATTATTAGATGACGAGATCCTGGATCTCGTCATGTACATCCTTTAGAACAGATGATTAGATGACGATCGATCCTGGATCTTGTCATGTGTACATCCTGTAGAATAGATGATCAGATGACAAGATCCAGGATCTCGCCATCTGATTATCTATTCTACATGATGTAGACATGTTGAAATCATGGATCTAGTCATGTGTACATCCTTTAGAAGAGATGATCTGATGACGAGATCCTGGATCTCGTCATGTGTACATCCTTTAGAAGAGATGATCAGATGACAAGATCCTGAATCTCGTCATGTATACATCCTTTAGAAGAGATGATCGGATGACAAGATCCAGGATCGATCGTCATGTTACATCCTTTAGAAAAGATGGTTAGATGACGGGATCCTGGATATCGTCATGTGTACATCCTTTAGATGAGATGATTAGATGACGAGATCCTGGATCTCGTCATGTCTGCATCCTTTAGAAGAGATGGTTAGATGACGGGATCCTGGATATCGTCATGTGTACATCCTTTAGATGAGATGATTAGATGACGGGATCCTGGATCTCGTCATGTGTACATCCTTTAGATGAGATGATTAGATGATGAGATCCTGGATCTCGTCATATGTACATCCTTTAGAAGATATGATTAGATGATGAGATCCTGGATATCGTCATGTGTACATCCTTTAGAAGAGATGATTAGATGACGAAATCCTGGATCTCGTTATGTGTACATCATTTAGAAAAAATGATCACTGTTAAGTGCCTTTTCCGGCCATTCAGAGCTCCCTATTTTTTGAAAAATCTCATCTCCTAAACCCTCCCCCTCCTCAGGCATACAAGCTAAGCCCCCTGTTGGACAGCTTAGTCCCCCAAGAAAATGTATCCCAGAGCAGTTACTGTCTAGGCCTTTAGGCATATGCAGAATGTGGCCCTAGGCTACTAAAGAATAGGCCTAATTGTTATTTAATACATTACTTTATACAATACAAATTGCAATACAGACATTGGAAAGTTAATATATATAATTAATTAAATATTTAACATTCTGTTCCCCTTCTCTTTTTGTGTAATATAGCCGGCAATTTCGTGAAACATTAAAAAGTAATACATCTTAACTTTAGCAGTTATGTTGTAATAGAAGTTGTAATTTTAATGTATTAGGCTCATTTTCTCTTCATGTAGGCTAATTTGTTCATGGGATTAAGTTGGAAAATCCACAGAATAAGTACAGTATTGCAGCACTAGTACTATTAGGCCATTGCATTGTTGAATTGTCATTTCTTTCTGTGATTACGGCCTAATACCTAAAATAAGACTAACTAGGCCTATGTATTATTTCACTCTGTGTAGACACCATAAATTGATAATGTTCCAGGGATCTTAATTTTGGAAAGAAAATTACAGAGGGACAACTTATTTTTTGTTACATTGGTTGTACCATGGAGTTGATATGTTTTTTGCTATGCTGTGTGATAAAATGAAAGACAGGGTCTACTCTTATGTCGAGGACGAACTGTAACTGAAAGACGAACTATAGCTGAAATTGTGCATGCCGTCAACATACGAAGCCACGCCCCTCGACTGAACCCGTTGTATTTAGCAAACCCTTTTTATAATGCAAGTTTTCTATACTTGGTCCAGACGTATAGGGCGCCCTTCTGTTGCTAAGTATATACAGACTTTTTTCTTTTTTTCTTTTTTTCTTCGTTATCACACAGAGTCCGGTCATACGATTCTGCGTATCTGTCATTTTATTGTGTTGATTTATTTAATGCCTATTTATTGTATCTTATGAATAATGGCAACGATTTCTACCTCTGCAAAAGGAGGTTATGTATTCACAGTTGTGTAACGCTGACATAAGTTTTTTTTAGATCCAGCCGTACGCGCGGCCCCCATTGATTGTATTCCCACATTGCATTTCGGTGGAACAGTTTTTTTTTCTGTGGAGAACTCTATCTTGTGTTTCTAGTATATTTGATAATGTGCATTGGTCAGAATAATTAATAAATGAAATGAAATAAATTTACAATGACGTTTCAATTAATTTTACTAATTTTTATCCTTAGGTATACATAGCGGAATTATCAAGACCAGATCTGCGAGGAATGTTAGTAGGGGGTTTTCAGTTGTTTCTATGTGTTGGAATTCTTCTTGTGAATGCTTTGGGTAGGTGTTGGTTGTGGTGATGAATTCAAATTTGTTTTGACTCCAGGGTTGATCAGTCCATGTAGGAGGAATAGGGCCTATACAGCATTAGCGTGTGCTGACTCCAGATGTAAGGTTGACATTAATTCCAATGGGGCTACGCTTATTGTAGCTCTGTTTGAATTTTTATGATAAGTCTCTAACGTATTATCCATTTATTTCCATTTGCCTTAACATCAATGGTACATACCGTGTGGTGCCGCCATCAAAGTCTATATAGTTGTATAGAAAATTAAAAATATATATTCAAAGACCCCATAATTCAAAAGCCTTAAATATAATTTAGGTGAACAATACCTAATCGTAGTATAAACTATATACTTTGGATTACCGGATCTATATGTACTACTGTGTTATGGGTTATTCAAATTTAGTTTGTAAATTTGCTTTATTTCAGGGATTTCGCTTTCTTACGTCTGGTTGGCTGCTGTTGGGTGCGCAATATCTACACTTCTAGGAGTACTGATGATGTTTATGCCAGAAACACCGCATTACTGCATTATGAAACATAAAATGAACAAAGCATTGTCAGTCTTAACGTTGTTAAGAGGCGGAGAATACAATGTTAATCACGAATACAAAGACATTGCGGATGATATACGGTCAAAATCAGTACGAAACTTCGTTAATGCCCATGTACAATCCATTTTGTTATGACGATGATGATGATAGAATAAAGGCGAATATAAATATATCTTGGCGGCTACATTTTTAACATAACTTTATTTCATGTTCACAGGATGATTTTCAGTGCAAAGAGTTCTTTAAGCCGAATTTGTACATACCGTTGGTGATTAGTGTAATTCTAATGATGTTTGTACAGTTCAGCGGTATAAATGCCGTTGGTTTTTATACTGTTACCATCTTTCAAAAATCGTCTCCATCAGTGGACGGCAATGTAGCGGTCGTTATTGTAACTGCCGCGCAAGTTGTGGCTACGATTGTGTCAGTTTTACTAATCGACAGGATTGGAAGGAAAATACTCCTCATTATGGCCGGTAACATATAATAATATGATTATACAATGTGTTTATAAAGCTTTCTGTCAAGGTTATACAATTTTCTTTAACGAAAAAACAACAAAAAACAACAAAACAAACAAAAAATTAAAAGACCGTTGTACGTCCATGATAGCCACGATGTGCGTATATGGTCATAATGTGATGTCATCATGACCATATTTAGGCATGCAAAATGTTTTTTTTTTGTCAAATAAAATTTTATAGTCTGAACAGCGGACTTTGAATAGTTAATATTGTAGTCAATCTTGTGCTGAAATAAATGTCGTTGCACTGTCCCACTACCAAAATTTGTGTAGCAAAAATTATTTTTATTCTCGGGAATTATTGTTTAATTCTTAGGAATGGGAATGTGTCTAAGCGCTAGTGCATTTGGACTGTACTACAAATTAACAGAGAACACGGCAAATGGCACCTCCATAAATGACGTTAATTACACAGAGTCGACATCAATCCCACCGATATCATCAGATCTCACATGGCTATCTCTAACAAGTGTTATTGTGTATACATCATCATTTTCCTTTGCTTGGGGTGCAGTTCCATTGGTGGTCGTGTCGGAAATCTTACCAACTAGAGCCAAGGGGCCAGCAAGTGCAATTGCAATAACTGTCGCTTGGTTATCTGCATTTGTAGTAACGAAGGAGTTTTTCAAAATGTCGGTGAGGAATTAGCTTAATTATATGTCTTCATTTTACCTTAAGCACAATTAAGGTAGAGCAGGTTAACTCGGCCGGCCGGCCGTAATTGGTGGTATCAACTGTATGCGTGTTAAACCGGTGAGATCTTTAAAGAGAATTCCCTTGTTTAACTGCTTCTCTTCTTTTGTTTTTACTGGAGGGATGAAATTCACTAGCAAGAACTTCGTTCATGGAGGGTAAACTGCAACAAAAGCAAGACAATCAAGTACCATACGGCGTTAAAACGAAGTTGATTAAAGTAATTTTATCTCTGGTAAACCTTGCCCTTTTCTCACCGCCGTAATGCATCGATACTTGTCCTATTGGTTTCTTTAAATGTTATGGAAGGCCATGATCTATCATTATTTGTGACTATGATGTTTATCTTTTTAATTAGGTTGTAATGTCAGACGCTGGAGTGTTCTGGTTCTTTGGAGGTGTTTGTCTTCTGAGTGTCATATTTGTTGCGTTATGTGTTCCTGAAACCAAAGGAAGATCGTTGGAGGAAATATCAAAACACTTTCAACGTAATTTGAAACGAGCGAGAGCAGCTAGCTCAGTCGGCAAAAGTGGTGGGCCGCCGAGAGGGGCAAGGGGAAATATTCCCGGGGCCCAAACCTAGGGGACCCATAGAAAATTCAGGTTACATTTTTTCCATATTTTTTCAAAAATAATTATTATCATGGGCCATCAATAATGGGATTTTGCCCCTTAATAATGTTCCCCTCCAGATTTACAGAGAGCCCCCTCTCAAAAAAATTTTCTTGTGCCTTCGGCGCAATTCTCCCCGCGCTTCGCGCTCGTAACCTGGGCCCCACACTAACCCGAGCCCCTACATTTCCCCTCTTGGCGACTGCTGGTGGTGACCACCACTGTGTGCTGACGCGTGGATCTCTTGGTCCCTGGTTCAATTCCCATCGTTGTTCTCATCTGGAGGGCTAAAAGTTCAAAGGCGTACCCGCGGCGTCTTTCGGATGAGACGAATCTAATTCCGCCGCTCCCTATGAGCGTCTGCCACTGATTTTCAGTGGCAGTGGCAGTCTCAATGGATCGTCATTAAAAATGATCCACTGCGCTCGCGTTGTAGCAATTGCGTTCTCCATGGAATCACGATCAGCCGACAACTGTCAGGCGCAGTAGAAAGTGTTGCATCAAAGTATCTCACAACAAGGTCGTAGACTTGCCACAAGTCCCTTATTATTATTATTTTTTCACATTCTGGACAGCGCCACCAAGGAGCAAGTAAATATTGAGACGGAATAATAATAAAACAAGAAATCAAGTATGGACGCCAATTAAATTAGGTATGGCGAGCAGTAAGCGTAATAAAGAGTTAGTAACTCAAAATTAGGGGCTAGAACCCAGGCTACCAACGTCACTTTCATTTAGAAACGCGTTTAATTTTTTTTTCGTACGATGCTGATGATTGATTACTTCATTTTGTATTTTGGGATGGTCTTTGGGCTGTCTCTTATACACATCTAGATGTGTATAAGAGACAGCTATATTTATCGAGATTTATTTTCGTCATACAGTACTATTAATAAGATTTACAAGTTAAAATAAATAAATTAATAAACTTGATATGAATTCAATTTAAGCTCATAGTAAAGGATTTAAATACAATGGTGCGTTGTAATTATTTAGGAATCATTGTTGCTACACTGTTGCGATTTATTTAATATGAGAATGGTTTATGATTAGGTGATGATAGTGCACTAATTCCATTGTTTTTTATGGTATTATTGTTTAATATTGATGTTATTGTTCCTAAAGCTGATATTAGGCTATTAGACTGAAAATGAAAATTAACTAATCAGCCGGTAAAGACTGACCCATTTTATTGTTGCGCGAATAATTGCGCCATGCATGTTAAAGTGTAACCAATCTATTTTAATTTACTTTGTGACACCATGTCAGGAAAATTTAAAATTGAAAAAAAAAATGAAAAAAAAAGTGGGTTAAACCCCCACAAAAGACAAAAAATGAATTGTATTGTTATGTAATGCTTTTTAGAAAACTAATAAAGTTATTATTAGAATAATGGATATCTTATTATAAATACATTTATAGTTATTGTATTCTATTTCTTGGTGTTCTTCATTACTGAGCTTATGGTGGTGTCGGCTGAGGCAATGGTGGTAACGCATGTGGTTGTGTCGGTGGAAATGTTTGTTTGATAGTAACATCTGTCGTGGAAAAGTAAAGTTTTACTAAATTATTTTAAGTTTGGCAAATCCGATTGGTTTAATACTTGGCAGAACGCCAGATGACAATCACGAAGTTGCGGCATATTATTTATGTTTGGAACATGTGTAATTATGCTTATTTTAGTCATTTATATAGCTATGAACACAAAAAGGTAAAACATATGGCAGACATACATCAATGTTGAAACTGCCAACACAACTGATTTTCCAGAAGAAACCTGAGTACCAGTAAAGGTGTCAGGATTAACTGAGGCCGGTAGGGTTGCATGCCCATATATAGTCATGATGTTGCTATATACGGTCATATGATTCATCCTGTCCATAAATAAGCATGTCACATGTTTTTGACAAATAAAATGTGGTTACAATTACAAAACAAAAATGCTTCATTTTAATTCATACTTTTAGTCGCATACGATTATCATATTAATTTAGATTTATTACACGGATGATATTTTATGATCCACAAATTTAACAAATTATAGTTTTACAATTTCTAAGCACAGCGACGGCTGTTGCACTGGTAAATTTTTCTCATGGTTTAACTTATTAAACAAAAAAAAAGCAAATACTTAGTCATCAAACTTGAACATAGTACTTTATAAATCATATAACATTCTATCATGAACAAGAAACGAAAAATGATGAAGATTACTTTTTAAAAGTATGTCGCCCTCTAAATACGTGTTTGACATAGCAAGATCCTTCGAATATAATAGCCTAATCTACACAAACGTCCTAATCGTTGTTTAGATAATTGCGAAATGCGAAGTCAAAAGTAAATGGCAGCTACAGGTAATGGTTCGACTGAGAACGATGGCATGCTGGCTGAAAAAGGAGAGTAAGTGTCACATAGAGATAGGCCTATATAAAATTATATCACTTTCATTAGTTGATCTAAGATCCAGTCACAGGCTGGTGGTCGCACATGTACTTCTGAAGAACTACAGTGCCTGTACTCGCCTGTGTACTATGGGCCACCTAGAAGAACGCTTTGATGTAGAGAAGCTTAGTTCACTTGAGACCTTAATACATTATTCCTTTGATTTACCAGAATCTACATAAAGTAGACAACATGATGAAAACTGAGTAAAGCCACTGACCGAATATTTTTTTGTGTTTAAAAATGTCATTTTAATAATAATAATAATAATAATAATAATAATAATAATAATAATATAATAATAATAATAATAATAATAATAATAATAATAATAATAATAATAATAATAATAAGAATGATAATAATAATAATAATTATAATAATGATAATAATACTGGGTTTTTTTAGGCTAAAAGCACGAAATATGTTTTTATTTTTTCATTTATTCTTTTATTTTTTTTATCTATATAGGTATACATAGCAGAGTTATCGAGTTCTAATTTGCGAGGAATGTTAGTAGGTGGCTTTCAGCTGTTTCTAGGCGGTGGGATGCTCCTCGTGAATGCTTTGGGTTGGTGTATATGACCAGGTGTTAATTTAATGTCAAACCTCCTCCACGATAATATGTGTGGAGGATAACGTGTAGAGATTTCCCATACCCGGTATTTGTTCCTTTATTCCAGCACTGATTCTATTATTATTATTCTACCAAACATATTTTGTTTCATGACTTAATAATGTGATAGACTGGTTTTCATATATATATATATATATATATATCGTCCCCTATATAACGTAGTGGCGAATGTGGAAAAATCAATTTTTTTTTTATTTGTGAATTTAAGTTGTTTTACTGTGTAGAATCTCTGACAAAAAAATTGAGTCAATTTGATAAGTAATTAAGGAAGAAAATTAATTAGCAAAGTGGCGAATGTCGCTATATCAATCGATGTGTTTACTACAAACTGGCGAATGTATGATTTTTCACGCACGACGCATATC